GTTACAGACCTAACGCCTTCCTAATTGGATTCTGACAAATGCCATATGCCATATCTCTTTTAGTCCATGAGAAACAGACTTCCAACATAATCTTTTAAGAGATGTTCATTCAAATGCTTGTTTGCAGAAGGGAAATTTTTAGCCAAAGATGCACCTATGGCAAAAACAGTCTTGAAATCATTTAGTTTCCACTGCACATTGCATTGAAAAGTAAACTATACCTCAAAAGGCAGGTAAGTACTGAAGACTAAGCAGAGAGGTTGCATAATATTGCAGTCTTGTAACATAAATCTTTGAAACTTTGGAGAACCAAATCAAGGAAAACAAAAGTATTAGCTCTTACTTTTGTAGCTTGCTTAATAGCATTTTCTGATACATCCAAGCCAACAACAAAGCGTTCAGGGCTAGCAATTGCCACCACATCATGACCCTGTCACAACATATACTTCAACTAATCAAAAAGAAACAGTACCAGAACAGTAAAAAGAAAGAAAATAAGCTTTTCGTGCAATTAAGCAGTACAACAAGGTGGTTCTGCGTGTGATGAAACAAAAGGAAAAACTGAAAGACTAAATCGGATGATTATACCCATGAATATTTGGGTGTATAATATCCTTCTGATGACAATATTGGACTCATTTCTTGCATACAAAAATACATGGTTGATCTCATGGCGTGTTTCCGAGGATCTATCGGAAAGACGGAAACAACCTCTCTAGCTTCACAACTTAGGGGTAAGGTCCGCATACACACCACCCTCCTCAAATCCACTTGTGGGATTACACTAGCCTAGTGGCTGAGCTCATGATGTGTATTGATTAGAAGAAAACATTCTACTTGACTTTCATTCCATAATTATGGAAAACCTCTCAAATTCTTTTCTTTTGTTTTGTGAACCTGGTGTTCAGACTAGCTTCGCGCATCTCAACTAATTCCACAGGATATATGCCCCCTCCCAACAACAACTACCAGGTAACTTTGTCAACCAAGGTTACGACAAATGCCAAAAATCATCTAGTATTTTTTCGTCTCCGATGACTCTCAACCACTTCATTGAGCACTAGGCCACACCCTTGGGAGCTACCGCGCTAACCTCTCAATATCTGGACATTACCAGTAAGCTAAATTGCAGATAACCCTATTTTTTTTTCTTATAAGCCAAATCATCAAGTATAACAATAAAATTGCCCCAAAGGGCTTTTACAGGACACTTACACTGCCACAACCAGGGATCAGAGCCCTGCCTTTAGGAAGGGTACCTGTTTGATGAAGATGAACAAGAATTGGGGTAGGCTGACCCAAATCCCAAGGTGTCATTCCTTTCTCCCAACATTTATCCCAACCACCTATCATTACAGATAATCAAATTTGTATTTGAGATAAAAAGATTCAACTTTTCTTGAAAAAAAGAAGAAGGGGGGTTTTACCAGAAGGGTCAGAATGAAGTAGCTGTTGCAGTTTGTCGACTTTAGGCTTTGATGTATTGCTTCTTGCCATTGTTAGTCTACTGAGCGGAGAAGTTAGTGGGAAAGTGTTGAAGAGAAGGCCACAGCAGGTAGACAAATGGGTTCTCATTGATGAAGCGTGAAAGATGCAACACACTGATTACCATCACTTCCTGTGTCAACAATGGCAATTCGGGTCGGGTCGGGTCGGGTCACGGTTTGGACTTTTTTCCTATGGGTATGGATCTTTTAGCCATAAAATTGTACGTTTTATCCTTTAAATAAGTCATCAATGATGAAGCCTGAGGACGTAACACACGATTACCATCTATGCTTGTGTCAACAATGACAGTTCTTATACGGGTTGATTCGAGTCGATCATTCGAATTAATTTTGAGATTAGGGATTTTTAGACATAAAATTGCACGTTTTGTTTTTTAAATGAATTATTTTTTAATTTTTGGAGAAATTTTATAAGTAGCTATAATTTGGAGCATATATTATATAGTCTAACGTACGAGTTATAGTACATATTTTACTATTACACATATTAGTCTTATTTTTCTCATGAGAAATAGCGAATTACATTTAGGGAAAATACATAAAAACACATTTGAACTTGACAGTAAAACTTATTTTAATACTTTAACTTTACGGGTAATTATTTACCCCTTATCTTATTACAAGTGAATTTTATATCACTCGAATGGCTGACGTGGAAAATTATAACAATATCAGCGCGTAAATAAAGAAAAAAAATTAAATGGGACCCTTTTTCTTTTTTCTTTTCAGCCAATACAGTTTTTTCCATTTCTTCTTCTTCTTCCTTACGCCCATTACCCCAAACCCAACCAATTTCTTTTCTTCTTCCTCACAGCCTCCACACCTCTCCTCTTGTTCCTCTATTTGTTTCTTCATCCTATATCTTCGATTTTCTCCTTCTTCTAAGTAGTTTATAATAAAAGAGAAAGTTTCAAATCAAAACAGCAAATCTCTAAAATAATTCAACCATGATTTGATTAATAAAGAATTAACAAAGTGTCAGAACCTTAAAAAATAATTAATCATCTAACTTTAAACATTACTTATTCTAAACCTGGATATGCATTAGGCAGTTAAACACGAAAATTAACAACAGATCTAAAAAAATTAAGCACACTGATTTTGCACAAATTTAAAAGCGTCAATTGTTGATATAAGTTGATAGTTTCACTTAGCTAAAAAAAGAAAGTATGGTGATTGATGGAAGTAATAATAAATAATTACAAAGTAATGAAAAATAGGATGAATTGGTCAGAGTGAAATTTTAGATGTTAAGAACTTAACCCATATGAAATAATGAAGAGGATGGGTGAATAGTGAAACAAAACTTTTAAAAAACGTGGGGAAGTAAAAATAAAGAAGAAGTATTTTTTTTTCAATTATCTGACGTGTCATCGATGTGGCATAGAGGTGGCGCTTAAGTGGCTCGCGTGCATTTCACCCATAGGTATGAAACTGGTATTGTATGTGTAAGGTGATATTAAATTCACTTGAATTAAGTTTAGGGGGGTAAATAATTACTCGTAAAGTTAAAGTGTTAAAGTAAGTTTTGCTGCCAAGTTCGAGAGTGTTTTTATGTATTTTCTCTTACATTTATAACACATTTCTAACATGATCTTAATGTAATAACACATCAACTAATTTGAATAGTATTTGAATTTTTAAAATTCGGGTGTAATATATTTTTAACATCGTTATCAAGAAGAGCAAAATAAAAAAAAGGTCATACATTTTGAATTCAATATATTATACATAATTACATATTATAGGTATATATGTTTCAATGCACGTGGTGAATATATAACTAACACATTTTTAATACAAATATATTATAAGTATTATTGTGAATTTCAAATATTCAAGTAGTATTTAAATTAGTTTACGTTATTAGAAATGTAGTATACTTGTTCTATAATAACAACTATCGAATTCACAACAATGTATAATATTGAATTCAAATTATATTACAATTATCTAAGAGGCCTTTGTACTGTAACGAATGGGTGAGTCATTAGTGATAGAAAATGAGGGAGAAAAGCTTGATTTGAAGAGTTATAAATGTTAGGCTAGACTAGCTAGCTTGGACGAAATCTGAGTGAGGTAAGATTTGATCAAGAGATCCGGGGAAAGGATTGGGGAAACATCTAAGTAAAGTCTAATTTCGTTATTGCTAAGACATTAAGGAGTTTGTAGGACTTGTCAGAAATGAATTTGGATAAGTAGAACTCTCGATATAGAACTTGACATGAATGGGTTACTTAAGAACGTTAAGGTTCGGAGGTGTGTGGAGAAATGAGCTATTTTTGAAGGATTTTTGAGGTTCTGCCTCATGCAAGCCGCTGCAGCGAGGGCGCATGCCGCTACGGTGGCCCAAACTAATTCCCTCTAAACCAGAATATATCCCACTATACAATGCCACCACTATAGTGGGATTGGTCGTTAAAAGTACATAAAACAACCAAAAACTGTCCATAATCAACTAAGACGTTTTGGGGAAGTGCAGAGGCGACATAGGGCGATTTTCATCATAATCATTGGAAAAAGTAAGTTAAAAGGAAAAATTAGAACTTACCTTTACGTCATTGATCCTACTCTACCTTTTGTGAATTTTTGAGGCAAAGTTTTAAATTTGACTCATCAAGAGTGAGAGCTTTCATTTCCAGCGTATATGACAATTATGATTGCGACTAGATGGAGATGTTAGTGGTTGTTCCCACTGAGAGGCGGACTCATGTATGCCCTTGAGGGTGCGCGTGCACCCGTTAACTTTAGAAAATTATGTTTATATATATATATATATATATATATATATATATATATTATTAGGCTTGCTAGTTTAGACGATGAATTTCTTTACGCGAGGGACTGGGTTTGAATCTCATTTGCTATTTTTCTTTTTTTTTCGATGACTAGTTTCGTACTTGCGACCTCATGGTGCAAAGTGAAATTTAAAATCATCACTCCATAAAGCAAACTTTATTTAAAAGAGTCATTTAATTTATATTTATACATTAATACAATAGTTTATATTTTTATGTTTAATAAAATTATCATATGAATCGATATTTGGTAATATATACTTTAACTAATGTGCATTAATCGTTGATGCACATGTCGTCTTCAAATCCTGGATTCACCTCGATGCCCACTTGAGACATAGTTTCAAACACTGACATCCACTCCAGAAGTATTCACACCAAAGACAATTTCCATACTTTCTTGGACTATTATTTTTACCTAGGTTGTAAGTTTTTTTCCATACGAGTTGTGAATTAGTACCACGATTTGTGGACACAATCGTGGAACTCATATGCTCATTATTTATCAGCGTTTCAATGTCACATAATAGGAATTTAAGTATTTTAACCATTCTTTTTATGAAAAGCAATACGATATTATTCGATTTATTACGATTGACAACCATCCAAAACAAACTACAAGAAGACAGTTTTATTGAAACTAAAAATGATCCTTTTTCCTCACTTTTCTTTCTTAGGATCATCAACCTTTTGCCATGACTTTTTACTTCTTCATAGCCTTAAGTTCTTCTACTCTCTTCTCAGTGTCCTTCAATGCTTTCTTATATATGCTTATCATCTGCAAAAAAAAAAAAAAAAAAAAATGATAATGAATTTAATTGTATTTCAATTTATATGAAATGAATGTCTATTCTAATTAAGTATGACTTGGTGTAAATATTCGGTTCAAATAAAAGAGTTCTTAATTTATTTACTTCCACAACTTCATAGGCAAACAAAAAGAGGAATCGCTAGATATTGTTTATTCAAAACAATAATAATAACAACATATCTAGTGTAATTTTCATAATGTACACAAATCTTATTACTATACTTTATACAAATAGAGAAGTTATTTTCTTATAAGACCCTCGACTCAAAGGCACATTGCATACTCAAAAAATATCTTAGAATATTTCTAATAAATAAAAAGTGATTTTTATTACCTCATCAAGTTCTTCAAGAGTCATGCTGAATGGAGGAGCCATATTTACGTGATCACCAGAAAAACTTACCAACATTCCATACTTTTGACATTGTGCTCCAAAATATGTACCAACACCTTAATTAACCAAAGAATGAACAATTAAATAATTTGTAAAATATAATCGAACTTTAGATTTTAACTTAATTTGAAAAAGCAACAAGAAAAAAAGAAAAAAAACTTACCCCAATCATATGGAAATGGATCATTAGGAGATTTGTTATTTACAAAGTCCGTAGAAAGTACCAAACCGGTTCCCCTTATCTGTATAAAAAAAAAAAAAAGTGAATAACAATATTAGGTTAAGTTTTCTGCATTAATGGTACGGAAGATATTTATCTAATCAAATCAATTAGGGATGAAGCATATTCTTGCATGAGGGGAGTCAAATCGTAACACTCTTTTCTTGGTAAATTTTACTATATAGATAGGTTAATATGTTTTTTATGTATACATACTACATATTGAATATTTACTTTTTTATATTTTAATTTTTCTAATGAAAATTTTGATTACAACATAACATAAAAGTTAAAAGTTAATTGCAGGTAATACTATTTAATAGCGTTGAATCATTGATGATAAGGGCTAACACAAAATAAATGATAAATAATCTGTTATAGAAAATTAAGATATCAATAATAATAAGCAAAACATCGATGTATATAACTTAAATGTATAAAAAGTGTATTTTACCTCCCCAATAATGGGACTATCGGCAAATGCTTTCAAGCCTTCTTGGAACTTTGATGATAGTTTGTTCACTACCTCAAGAATATTTCTTTCTCTGAAAAAAATAATAATTATTTAAATATTTTAATAATATCAACGATATAAAAAATATTCAAAACAATCAAATCATAAGTGGGATAAGACCTTGATAATGTATATTACAGTTCAATGGAAATTTATTTTCGAAAAAAGTTTAAATTATAACATATTTTTTATATAAATCAATAGATAAAAAGTTACATACTTATAGATTTTTAGGGCTTCCAACGCAACCGCGCACGCAACAGGATGCCCAGAATAAGTAAATCCATGGCAAAAAACACCTAGTTGCAAAAAAAAAAACAATTATTATATAAATAAATGAACACAAAAAAATATAATAAAATTAAAAAACTTTGAAAAATTAGGTTAACAAAATATACAATCACACTAATATAGTATACTCACCAATTTTGTTGCTTTCAGAAAGTATGACATTGGAAATTTCAGGGCTTACAAGCACAGCACCAATTGGTACATATCCACCAGAAAGAGCCTAAAAACAGTTAAGAGAGACAAATGTAAAAAAAATTCAAAAGCTGAAGTGATCTGATTACATAAATATTATCGATATTATTGGTGCACATTTTTAACTCGAGTTTAAGTTTATGTACTAACAATATAAACAAATGCTACATAATCATACTAAGTAGCTTATTAGATAAGTACATATACATCTCTTAATAATAAGTATTAATTGGTAATTTAGTAAAATGGATAACTAATCTGTTATCACAAAAGTATTTTCACTATTAGGATATTCAATTTATGTCCCTAATTAATTTGATTACTTAAAAATATTATTATGTATTTCGTTATAACATATTTAAAATATATTAATAATGTAAAAAGATAATTAATATTATCAGTGTGTATAAATTAAATTCAAGCTATAGTTGTTCAACTTACCTTTGCCAAAGAGACAAGATCAGGTTTAATGTTGTACTTATCACAGCCAAACATTGTCCCAAGTCTTCCAAATCCACATATCACCTCATCCGCGATAAAGAGAATGTCATACTTCTTTAAAACAACTTGGATCTAAAAATAAATAGGAAGGAGTTATTTTTGTCAATTCAAATCAACATTTTTTTTAAAAGTTAAAATGAATATTAAATAACTAAAATGCTCTTATAGTTATTTACAAAGATATAATGTAGGAAGTATTTTACAAGAAAAATGAGACGAAGAGGGAGTTAGAATTTTAATTTGGGCATGGAAATAGAAAGAAGTACCATTTCCCAAAAATAAATGTTATTTTTATATATTTAGTAATATTGTAACTTTAAAATGTCTATCTTATCCTCAATGAGATGAATAATAATTTCATAAATATATTTATAACATATTTTTGAAATTTTCTTTTTTTTACTTAAACTTTATATTTAATTAAATATCATTACATAAATTGAGATAGAGACGGTAATAGATCAGAACCTTATCAAAATAGGTAGCCGGAGGAACTATGACACCTGCTCCTCCCATGACTGGTTCCGCAATGAAAGCAGCTACCTGATCAATAAGTAATAAAGTAATAAGATAAAATATCTATGAGCGGATTTAGAGAGTTACGTTGGGTATGAATTCACGTAAATTCAATAAAAAATTTACTTAAATTTTATATATATACTAAAAAGTTTACTAATTTTGAATGCTTGAATGGATATGAGGACATACTAAAAGAGAGAAGAAAGAAATTAGGAACAAAAATATGTAGGGTAAGGTGCAGGCATTATGCGGGAAGCAAAACTAAGATAGTTTGGAAATAAGAAGCAAGGATGAGCATAGATGACAGTGATGAAGAGGTTCGAGAGGTTGACGGTGGTACATTTGAGGAGAGATAGAGCTAGGTAGGACGATTAGTAGATAGTAAAGCATTGTCTTTCTTAACAGTTATAGGGCAGCGTTCTAGTTTGGAGCATCTATCTGTAATCTTATCAATATTATTACAATTATGTTAGTATTTTCATATTCTTCGATATCATTACTACTGTATTTCTCCTACTTTGATTATCTTTAATATTTATTGATCCGTCGGTATTTTTCTTCTTCAATATTTTTATCATAAATTTTACTCTTCCATTTCTTTTTCAAACTATTTTCTAAAAAATGATTTTCTTGATTGAGGGTCTATAGTTTCTTGACCTCACGAAAGTAAAGATAAGATATGCGCATATCTTACTTTACGATAGAAAAACAAACATTATAATAAGTTAATAAAAGTAGATGGAAATTACTGTTTCAGGCCCTTCTTTGAGTATAAGATTTTCCAAATTATTTGCCAACCTAGTTGAGAACTCCTCTTCTGTCTCACCTGACATACATATTATATTTTAGACCATATAATATAAGATCAATATTATATCTTATACAATAAGAAGAGAAAATAAATAAAAGTATACCAGGCAAGTGATTGCTCCAATAATGAGGGCACTGAGTGTGCAAAATACGTGGAGGTGGCAAATCAAATTTTTGATGTAGTACAGGAAGCCTAAAAAAAAAAAGTTGAATGAGATTGGGTTAACTATGAACGGATTAAAATAAATTGAATTTAACATATTTAAAAGTTATTTGAATTGAAATTAACGGTGGAGATTTTTTACTCATGAGGTTCAAAATATTATAGCTGATGAAAATTGAATATTGAATGCTGGGGTGCATTTCAATGTCCTAGACTACAGAGTTGAGTTAACATTGTGCCTATTATTTAAGATATTTTAAAAAATTATATATATATATATATAAAATATACCTTATACATGATACTATTTTGTATCGAAAGGATTTAGATAAATACCTTTTTGATTCTTTAGATCCTCTAATGATTAAAATAGATTGAGTTAAAAGGTACTACATAATCTATCTAAATTTAAATAGATAAAAAGAATTATATTTTCACCTGAAAATTTTCACTCCTGTTGAAAACAAATATTACCATTTTTATACGATGTTTTTTTTTTCAATCTACTTTAGAAAAATGATAAATTTTATATATTTGAAAACTCTTTAATTTTAATTTATTTATAAAAAAAATGATTATGATTTGTTTAAAATTATAATTTTTTTAAAAATTGAATATATAAAAAAATATTATTTTTTATTTAAATTTTATGTTTAATCAAATATCGCTATAGAAAATAAAAATCGACAGTATATTACCCAGAGAGACCAGCAGTCAGGTAAGTGGAACCATGGTATCTGTTTGAAGAATATTGTGTCAGCCAAATTTAATTAAAAACAAAAAAGCATATTAAAAAAATAAATTAAAAAAAAAAAAAGATTACGAGTTTTCTTGAGCAATAATTTTCTTTTTGTTTGGCCTTCCAAGGGCATTGTTGTAATACCACACCAACTTCACCTACAGATATATAATTAACATGTAAAGTCAAAGGTTACTTATTTAATAATAATTAAAATAAATAATAAATATCATGTCATAACAAATCAAATTACATAATATTTTTAATCCGTAGCTATAATTTCGTGAAATTTTGCTATTCGGTTTTCTAATGGTATAAATCATAATTTGTATAATTCGGTCCCTGATTATATAAACTCAGAATTTGAATAATTCAATTTTTTATTGTAAAAATTCAGAATTTGTGTATGCTTACACTAGTTATTTGAATATGATTTATGAAAAATTCATAGTAAATTATATTGGCAAGAGAAATATATAAACGGAATTCTCAAAAATTCCTAAATGTATAAATATAGATTTGTATATACTTACCCAATGGGCAAGCGAAATATACAAACCACAACCTTCATTTGTATATACTTACCCTATTTGTATATTTGCAAGCAAAATATACAAATGGACAAGTGAAATATACAAACGAATAAACAAAATATACAAACAACAACCTCCATAGCAAATGCACAAGTGAAATATACAAACGAATAAACGAAATATACAAACAACAACCTCCATAGCAGACAGAACTATAGTTATAAAGCACAATTACCGAAACATAACTATAGACAGGGGCGGATTTACGTAGGACGAAGGGGGTTCATCTGAACCCCCTTTGTTGAAAAATTACACTATATATATTAGATTAAATTTTTAATATATGTGTATATATATAGTACTGAACCCCCTGAACATACACCAAAGGCGTAGCTCAGTGGCGTTGGGGGTTCAGGAATTCACTCTACTGCACGCGAGGTCGCGTGTTCGAATCCGGGCAGAGGCATTTCTTTTATCAGCTTATATTTTAGGCATTTTAATTTATTTAAAAATATAATAATGCAATCAGAAAATGATGTTTAGTTCCAAAAAATTAAACGCTGATTGGGAATTTAGGATTTATTAGTTTAATCCCTAATTATAAAGTCAAATATTAAAAAACCCTTTTCTTCTTGATTCGACAATTTAATCCGACCCGTTTATATCCGATTCGACCCGTTTAATTTATTTGTGGATATTATTTATGTGATTAATTTTTTTTTTTGAACCCCCTTGACGAAAATCCTCCCTCCGCCACTGACTATAGAGTCTTATTATATTTATTATCTTTGCTATTTCTAAAATTTTCTCGATGATTAACAAACCTGAGTGTCATTAGCTTCTGATCCACTATTTGTGAAAAAAACTTTTGCCATTTTTTTTGCAGTAAACATATCTAGGAGCTCCTTTGCAAGATCCTGTATATATATCAAAAAAAAAAAAAAAAATTAATTAATCAATAAGTAATCTTCTCCTTCTATCCAAAATAATTATCACATTTTGCTCCTCAAGAATCAAACTGATTAAATTATTATAATTTAATTAAATTGAATTTATTCAATATTTTAAACTTAAAATGTTCGTAGAAATTGATACAATTTGATTCTCGAGAAGCAAAATAAATATTTTTGAGATGGAAGGAGTAATACTAATAATAAATTAATTGCCATATTATTGAACTAAAAATTTGCTCATATATATACCAGAGAAGGTTTTGTGGTACGATTCCAAAATGAATGGTAAAATGGCAACGTGTTGAGTTGTTTATTTGCAGCTTCAATAAGACGGGCCTCACTCCCTCCTACAATAATTCAGATTCGTTCGCATAAGATTCATTAAAATGAAAAAACTCTTATTGTAAGAAGTTTTTACCTTTTTCGAATTTAAATTCGAAATATCTAAATAAAAATGAAGGATTTTTATTCATTATCACGTCATATTCTTATGTCGTGAAAGTCATCTTCTAAGTATAATGTATAAAAATATTATTTACACAATTAATTAGTATATAACATAATTCAATTAAGAATTTCACAAGCTTTAAGGATCCATCAAAAGATAGCTTTCAACACGTGGGAATCAAAGAGAGCATGAAAGAATTTATTTTATTTTATTTTTAAAAAAAAGTCATTTTCTAGCAATCAAATTAAAGATTAATTAAAAGAGAAAAATGTTTTATTTTCTTATATTTTTCTCTTACTTTAATTTAAATAATTTTTAAATTTTATAAAATGTTGGATATTGAGTTAAAGTTTTTTTCTGTCAAACACACCATAAGTATAATTGTTGAAAAGATTTATTAGGTTGGTCCACCCATGTAGAATGAGGTGCTAATTCACTCAGGCCCAATATATATCAGTTTAGTTATTTTAATTTATGTGATACACATGAGATTTGATGAGTCAATTAAATTTTTAAATATTTTTATTGTTGATTATTTTTATTATATTTTTAACGTACTTTTCAAATAATATATATGGCATATGTGATATTTTGAGAGTTAATTAAATTTTGATATATTTATAAAAATACTATAAGTACGTAATTTTTAAATAATATATGTTATGTCTCTTGTCCCAAATTATGTGACACGTGTTCAATTTTGAGAGTTGATCAAATTTTTAATATGTTTTTAAATACTTTAAGTTGTGATTAATGATACTCTTAATGTAATTTTCAAATAATATATGTTACTCGCTTTATCCCAATTTATATGGCACAAGTGAAATTTTGAGGATTAATCACATTTTAATATGTTTTCAAAAATTTTAAATTGTTAATTATTGTGATTTACGGTACTCTTAATGTAATTTTTAAATAATATAAGTTACTTTTCCAGTCTCAATTATATGCAGTACGGGTGAAATTTTGAGTGTTGATCAAATTTATATATTTTAAGTTGATTCTTACTACTATTTTTGTAAATACATAACATATAGAAAGAAAATATTAAAATACAAATAAATTTAAACAGATAAAATACGATATATAAATAGAAAAAGTTAAGAAAAAGGACAAATCGATCAATTGATTAGCTGACCCTAAGCTCCCAACATTCACACTTATAATGTACAGTAGTATTATGGGTATTGTAAAAGTAAAAATATTTTATATTAATACGACAATTAGGGTTAGCTATTCAAAATAAATAAAAATATGCTCAGCATCTTTTGAGAATATCTAGATTGTGACAACCAATAAATGCTCTTGCATTGCGATTTCGTTTATTCTTATTTGTTATGATTTTCTTTTTTAGAATCAAATGACAAGAATTTTGACTAACATTTTACGATATATTTTTTATCACATTGATATACAAAAAGTTGCATTTTATAATACTTTTCGTATAATTTTTGAATATCTAAATTTTTTGTTTAAAATATCGAATTAATATAATCTAATTTAACTTTAAAAATTAGTCAAATTAACTTTTGAAAAGCGCAATATAACAACTAAAAATATATGAAAGGAGTGTAAATTTGCTTCCACAAATTAAAGAAAAACCCCATAAATCAAAAGAGAAAACAGAATCAAATGAAAGACATAACTAGCCAATAGGAAAAATTAATTCATAAGAATGGCATCTATGTATTATAAATAAATATTTAGAGTATAACCAAAAAAATAAGTACCTAATGATGTGCACCATAAACCAGATAAAGAATCAAGATACTTCTTCCCATTTATATCATAGACATAAGAACCCTATAACAAAAATTACACAAATGTTAAAACATATATAAAGGAATTGAAATTTCTCAAGTAAATGATCAACAAAATTTAAGTTATATATATCATTATTACGTATTATAAAAAATACTTACATGTTATGATATATAATTTATCTTATTTTTAAAATTATAAATAACCAACAATATGTTGGGATTGAAATTATCAAAGCATAAAATATAAGTTGATAATTACGCATCATCATGACGATAAATCAGATGACAAAAAATAATTATACTAAAAGACATATTATTTAATATGATTTGATCAAGTGACCTATATATTATGAAAATGTTATTGTATTTTTGTACGAGAACAACCTAATACGAAAGAGACTTATGTTTTTTTTCCAGAAAAATTAAAAAAATAATTACGAAAACGCTTTTATTCTTCTACTACGATTAGAAAATCAGAGCAAAACCAAACACAATGTACACAAAAAAAAATTTAAAAATTACAAATATAACACTTAAAAAAAAATTATTATACTAACGATACATATAACTTAAAGCTCGTGACGAAAATATCTAACCTCAGCCCTTTCTATAACTAAAGGTCCCATATCAATTTGCCATCCCGCTGTAAAGGGTGCCAACATATCATGTCCCTTAAATCTGCAAATTAAATGTGAACATATTTTGATTACTTGTTATAACATTTTTCGTACTAAAATAACTGAACTTTATCCAATACAACGATAATATTACGAAATGTTATCATAATAAATTAGAAAACTTTTTTGTCCCCTCATATTAGAATGATTGATGTATTTACCCATTAACCTCTCCCATTACTTCAAGCTTTTTTGAAAATTATGACTATATAATTAGCCAAATTTTGGAGAAAAATGCTAAGAAGAAAGAAGGATGAAGAAAGAAAAGAGATAAAGAGATAGGTAGAGGGTAAAAGTATATATAAAGAAAAAATTGTGAGTGACCATTGATTAGTTCAACTTAAATTTAATATTGATAGAATATTATATTATTTTTGTCTGTTTAATTATAGTAATAAGTAGGAAAAGTTACTCAACTTGATAAATGTCAAAATTGTATTTACTATGCACAACTTGTGTTTTAATTAAAAAACTATGAAATGTTATAATTTCTTTTTTTTCCACCAGTTTAATACTTATCGGATCATAGTTACATTTTGAGTTTCGTAGCAAATGCACAATACAAACAAAGCTAATATACATACTACATATAGTTTTTTTCGTGCCTTCTTCGTTGATAGTTGATACAATATACGCTAATATAATTGATTTAAAAAGGGGATGGAGATGGTAAGCAATAGACCATCTCCAACTCAATATCAATTCTGACATCAAAATTTTTTGGCGTAAAACTTAGTGTTTTGGGATTCCAACGCAACACTAATTTAGTTCGTGGATAGTATTATATCAAATTTAGTGCGATACCATTCATCAACACCAAATCACTTTTTTATTATTTTTTATTATTATTTATATCATAAAAAACTATTAATTTAACATAAAATTAATTATAAGTCTTTAATCAAGTCTCTAATATACCTAGTCATTTTTATGTATATCTTTATAATATAAATTTTAAATCTTAAATTTGGTGTATACTTTTTATAACTTAATTTGTGTATATATTATTTTGGGATAAGGCATAAGTACCTCCCTAGACTATGACTTGATGAAATCCCAGAGACTTATCTAGACTTAACTAGGGTCCTATTATCATAGTCTTTTACTCAATGAAAAAATCTTTTTGACGTAAAATGCAATTATAATTGAATTCCATCCGTTTAAGTAATGTAAAAATTTAGAAAAAAAAAACTCTAATAAAATAGTTATACTTTAATGAAAACATAAAATTCGGATAAAAAATAGCTCTATTTAAATTTATGTATGAATTTGTAAATGCTTAAATCTCCTGGATTATTGTTCCTTGATTTTGTATTTATAAAAGTTTGAATTAACCCAATAAATCACGTCTTGATTTTAAAATTTTATAGAAAAAATTTAAACCCCATAAATTATTCACTAATTTTGAACTTTATAAAAAATTGAAAATCACAAAACTTTTCTTAAAAAATTATTTCATATTTTAGTTGATGGTATTTTATTTTTATTTTTTTAAATACTTTTGGTCTATGGAGTATTGAGCTCGAACCCAATACATCTAATTAAAGATATATAAATACTTATGATTCCACGTAACTAATAAGGTATAAGACTATAAGTTATGTGAGAATCAAATGAAACCCTAATAAGCCCCTCACCCTAGCCCCCCATCCTTATTTATTTTTAATTAATCATGCATGTGATTAGTTTTAAGACAGCAAGCCATGTCTTGAGCCGCATGCACATGATCGAGGAAGATAAGTCCCAAAAATCTTATCATATTTTTTTATTTGGCTCAAGTCATACACAAATTTCTAAAGTTATTCGTAAATTTCACTTAGATACCTTAATTTAGCCTTGTCCTATTGAACACTTTATATATATTCAAAAGTCATTCCAATAAGACACAAAATACTGACATGGCAAAAAAATGTATACACCATCCTCCTTAAGCGCGTAGAGCAATCAGAAATAATATTTTTTTCTCTCTATTATTTCCGATGAAAATAATATTCTAGCAAAGTTATTGATTTTTTTTTTTGACAGATCTTCATTTTTTTCCCCATGTAATTGTGATAATAAATGATTATTAGAGAAAGAAAGATGAATAGAACGAGTGAAAGGTTTAATGCCATTAGAATAAAAGGTGATTGGATAGCAATAGTGTATTATTGACGTTGGTGAAAAGAATAAGATTCGATAGAGAAAAAGAAACGAATGGTGGCTATGTTATAGTGGTGGTTGAGGTGCAGCGGCACTGTGGAATTGGAAATAAGTATACAATATATTTACATTTTTTTTATAAAAAAACAATTGTAAAAATAAATAAAAAATTAGTATTTTTATAAAAACAATGAATTTCTTTTTTGATTTATAGCTATTTGGACTTTGGATAATACTTTATTGATGGAAATCTGTACCTTGAGGGAATACACTATACGATACGGCACTTCATTAAATTTTATAGCATCTCGTTTTCCTTTGTTTATATTGATTGTTCATGCTATTTAAAATTGTTTTGATCTATTTTATTTTATTTGTATTCTATAGAAAAATAGATTTTTTATTTTATTTTTCAGACCATTTTAGTAGATAAAAAAAATATATTATACTTTTTCTATATTATTCTTAAGAATAATATTAAATAATTACATAAAGTAATAGCAGTCAAATTTATAATTTTAAAGCATTATTAATAATGTTAGTTCAATTAAATACACTCTAGTTAAAATTTTCTTAAGGAACTTACCAGGTCAGCACAGACAAAGTAATATATGAAATAGACAGAGTACTTGTTAATGTACAAAATTAAAACAAAACTAATTAATTAATTTTTTTTAAAAGTGTGAATAAGTTGTAAAGTTTCAAAAAAGAAAATAAAAAAAGAACAAATTAATATATTTTTTAAATTATTTAAAATTTCTAAATGACGTATAGAAAAATGAACAATTAATATAATAAGAAGAATGGAGTAATTAATTATGTGCCTCAATTTTGATACCCATATCGCATCTTCCTTGTGCAGTGGAGTTTAATAACTTATGAATAGCACACTTTGCTGTAGAACATATTTATTTTAATTTTTTTATTATTATTATTATTTTAATTTATGTGATACATTTCGTTTTTAGAAAGTCAAGCGATTTAAGTTTGATCTGAAATTTGTGTATAAAATCTTCAATTCTTTTAAAATAAAATTTATATATTTGTAAACTACGTAAAAAGTACTATAAGTCATAAAATTGACAATTCAAAATATTTAAAAGATATATGAAAAATTTACGATCAAAGATAAATTTGCTTGAATCCCAAAATCCGAAATGTCCATACTCAGCCCTATAATTATTAATATTTGAACTACCAATATACTCCCTCCGTCAACTTTTAATTGTCATATTGCGCTTTTCGAAAGTCAATTTGACTAATTTTCAAAGTGAAATTAGATTTCATTAATTCAATATTGTAAACAAAAAATTTAGATATTAAAAAAATATACGAAAAATATTATAAATTATAATTTTTTACATATTAATATGATAAAAAGAATATATCATAAAATATTAGTCAAAGTACTTATCGCTTAACTCTAAAAAGGAAATGATGACAAGTGAAAGTAGACGGTGATAGTATTTTTAAATTAAATTTCGGGAAGCCAAATCTCTTTCGAGCCATTATAGAATAGAGAGCTCTTCATTTTTTTTATTCTTCGTTTTCAGATCTATATAAAATGATGTATAATAATGTGATAATTTTTTTATAAATTTTTTTTCAAATTATAAACAGTATTTGCCTTAGACTTTTATAATAAAAATATTGCTTTTTCTTTTAAAAAAAATTAGAGTATGTTAATTTATTCTTTTTAACCCTATCCAAATGGAAAAATCAAGAAAATATTGTTTTGTTTTCTTACCTTCCCTTTTCAAATACTCACATTATTTATTCTTTTAAACTCCTTTTGCATTTGATCTCTTTTTTCAAATATTTAATTAATAAGATAGAGTAATTTTTTGTCAAAAATATGAATTAATAGTCAAAAAATAATGTTGATAATAAAAAAAAATCTCTTTCCTCTTAAATTTTCAATCATTACATTAAACCTATATATTACAAGTAGATATGTCAAGTTATCTAATTGTTGAATCAGATTTTATGATTTTAATCCTTGTCTTTATTTAAAATTTATTTATTTGTTATTTATAAAATTATGTTAATAATTCATATAATAATTGTTTTAATATATATATATATATATATATTATAAATTAATAAAATCTTAACCTAAAACAATTACTCCGATCCCCCATTTTGTGCATTTTCTAATTGTTTCTCTAGACTTCAATATTTCATAATTTTTCTTGTATTTATTATATTCTTGTGCACTTACAAAATTTTAGCATGAAAAAGTAAAATATGATAAATTTGTGATTATTAATTATATCATGTGTCAGTCCATTTGCCTACTTGAATTCTTTAATCAAAACCCTTTGTTTCTTCCGTGTGTTCTCATTAATGCAGGTCTCCTCACTTGTCTTATTTCGTACTGATTATTTGTAGAGTTGTCGATATGAGCTGATTCACTCTCTTTGGATTAGCTTATATAAGTTTGGCATAATATATATATTGGCTTCTAAATTTGACTTCAAATTTTAACTTTGACCTTCAATTTTCATAATACACAAATAGGCACTTTAACTATCTTATCTTTAAATAAATAAACACACGATTTTCGAAGCCAAAGAGCGTGAAATGCAAACGCTCCCACGTGTATTAGTGAACCACTCAATGACTGCCAACTAATTAAATATTTTACACGTCATTTTAGAACTAAAAAAAATCAAAATTAATTTTAATTTATATACAAGAATCAAAATTAATTCCTCCTAATGGTTTTGCTAGCTTGGAGCTCATTGGGTCTGTTTTCATGGGGTTTGGGGGGTCATTTGGTTGCTGTTTTGTGTCTGGTTCGAGCTGCTGGTTGCAGCAGTGTTGTTTCGTGATGATTCTCGCCGGAGATGGTGGATCTGATGGGTTTGGGGTCGGGTATTTGGTGGGTTTAGCGAGCTCGAAGCTAGTTCGCTTCATGGGTTGTGCTCCGGTGTGAGGAAGAAGGAGAACGGCTGGGTTGGAGGTACTTGTTTGGGGGTCATTTGGTGGTTGCATTTTGCTTGAAAAAGAAGAAAATGAACGGGGGTTTTGCGTTGCCGGAGATTGGCTAGAATTCGAGGGGTAGAGTTGTCATTTCAGCA